CACAAGACAGACAAAGCTCAAATTATCACAAGAGGGCAAACGTTTAGCCAGCAACGTGTCAAAGCATTCCAGCCTGCATCTCACTGCTGAACAGACCAAGAAAGGAAAAAAAAAATATAATCTAGTTGAATACCACCTTCTACAAATAAGTCAGTTTGCTTTTTTGTAACTCTACATCTGGAGCCTGTTTGTTTGGGGCATAAAGAAAAGAGGAAAGATATTTGGAGACACTTAAATTGCTTCACTTCCTGCCGTGAATGACTACACAGTGATTTTGTTAGAAAAGAGAAAACAATTCTTTCCCATGCTCCCTGGGAGAAGGACAAAACATAACCTGCTGAATGTGCAGCAAAAAAGACTTTCGTTCAACAGTAAGAAAAAACTGCTACTGATAATAAAGTGAAGCCCAGGGATAAGGCAGCTGTGGAGTTTCTGTTGCTAGATTAGAGTAACACCCCTGGAGCACTGACCCAGGCAGACCAAAGCAAGCACACTTCATACTGCTTCTTCCAGTCTGGGTAACATGAAGCTCATTGAGTGCTGAAATGCCTCTTCCTGCTTCCATGGAAGCAGGAACATCCACTTGGAACAGATGAGTCCATGAGCTCCTACAGCCCAACAGGTCTATAGGGTAGCTGGGTACAGTGCAAAAGCACCTGGGCACTGGGGACTTACCCTTCAGCACAGACAGGGAGAAACAGCATCTCACAGTCATTCCTAAGAGCTGTGTAAAATGTCAAACCCCCTTGTTCCACAACCCTTGCCCTCTCCAGTTTCACACTGAAACAGCTGCTTTAATAAGACTCTGACTTCAAAGCACAGTAAATTAAGCTCCACATAGAGTCCATTCAGCTTTTTGTTTAATTTGATAAAAGCTCATCAGACCATTTAAGTTACCTTCTGGTCAATACTGCCTCAAGAAATCTGCAATTCAGCTACCTGTGGTTTTTCCAATATTCTTGTAAACCATTACTGACAGAACCTATTGGCCTGCAATGCATGTTCTTTGGTAAACACTGTTTCAGGGCTCAAAGTACATTCTATACCACTGTGATTTCTTTTTCTCTAGAAATCTTCATCTGGTGGGATTTTTCTTTCCTCTTGCTCTAATGCCCTGGGATCACCATTACTATGACAGCATTTCTCCTCTATTTTAACCTGATGACATATCTTTTAATTTCTTTCTAAGAAAAAGGGATTGGTCTCAATAATAATAAGCTCTTGACTTGCTGGTTAGGATGTTGGACTGGGCTTGAAGCAACCTAGTCTGATGGAAGGTGACCCTGCCCATGGTAGGGGGTTGGAACTGGATAAGCATTGAAATCCCTTCCAACCCACACCATTCTCTGATTCCATGGTTCTATGACTAATTCTAGGCTAGACAGAACTACTGTTGAGCTGGATACTTTCAGGTCTATTGACAACGAACAATAAATACACTGACCACAGCCTGTTGCATCCCAGATGATCCCAAACACTGGGTCCCTCATTCACCATCAAAACTTGCCGCTAACTGTGCCAGCAACACTACATAAAAGTTAGTTAAGAGGTGAAAGGGAGAGCAACTTCTCCAAGTGAAATTGCAAGGAAATTAAGGGAGGTAGAGTATATTACTTCATGGAGAAGTTGGCCAGAAGACTGAACAGCACACCTTTTCATGGCCAAAAGCCCTCTGCAGGCATCTCATCTAAGCATCATTGAGAAAAAGCAATGCCTGGCTTAAGAGATTTGACAAGATCCCAAGACAGTGATGACAATAGAAAAATACACATAAGATTTCATTTTAAGACCTCTTCCGTGTTTCTTATTTAAATAATCCCTCACATCGGAAGAAAAAGAAATCCAGTGAAACACATCATTTCAAGAATACAGAGGACCAGCCTCCTCATCCACCTCCCTCTCACCAAGTATTGACCTTGCTGCCAGGAAAGCAGCTTTCAAAGATCTTAGATTTCCAACCACATAATTCCAAATTAGGACATTCAGAGGGGGAAAAAGGTTTTGTTTTTATACAGTGACCACAGGAAGATGAAGGATATCCTATATAAATGCAGTCCTGATATAGCAAAGGGGATAACTCTATTTTCCACTGGTATCCCAAAGTTTTAGAAATGTGTGCACAAACCTTACTAAAAAAAAAAAGAAGGTGGCTGTTTGAAGCCTTTAAATCCCTAAAGACAGACAAAAGAAAACACAGGACAAAGTAGAAATACTATTGATTATGCATAATTGGTATAATTAATTTGTAATTAGTTCATTAAAATATATAGGCATTGGAATTATGCTTGTACATTTCTGGGAATATCCTGCAAGTCACTTGGGATATGCTTATCATTTACTTGATAGATGAAACATTATTAGAAAGACAGCCCATTAAAAATTAATATGCCAGAGTAATAATTTTCTCGATCTCAGCATTCAGTTTTCTACGCACTCAGATTCCTGTTCTACTTCACAAAGAGTTTTTATTAATTCTGTTTCCCAGAGCGTGACTTGGGAAGCACAGCATTTAGGACAACTGAGGCACAACATCCTTTATGCTGAGCATGCAGCCAGTTTTGAGAAACAAAATGACATACAGTATAAATTCTATGCCACAAGAGCTTTCAGCACCACATCTAATTCTATAATCAAAACTAAGATGGAAAGGTGAAAAGCCTTGTGCTTCAAAACAAGTACCAAACATGAAGAAACTTCCAGAGCACTGGAACCAGCCTGGTCTCTAATTGCCACAGTGGCATTTCAAAGGGGGCAATAATAGTGCATCACCATTTCTTAACTCTCATGTCACTCCACTATTTCTACTGATCTTTCTGAAGTCCTTCCAATACGTCTGAAGTGCCATTTCAACTAACAGCTACAGAAATAATTTGATCTTAAAAACGCAGGATACAGTCACATCACCTCCCAGTTGGGTATGTAACATCAAATTTTCCTTAAATTTCTGTAATGGATGGGGAGTCAGTCCTTGTGTGTGTAACTACCAGGAACAGGAACAGGCCTTCTGCTCAAAATCTCCTCTTAAAAAGTATTTTCCTCCCCTCAATGAACACTAATGGGAGCCTAGAAAGGCTGGCCTCACTGATGATGAAGCCAGGCCATGAGAAGACCCATCTTCTCTTTAAAAAAAATCTAAAAAAAAATTAAAAATCATATTACTCATAAGGAGCAAAATCAACAGTAGATATATAGTGCAAGTATATGCAAGTATCATTTGCCATTATAAGGTTTGAATTTTCACCAGTAAAACAAAGAGTATGTGCTAAAACAACACCTTTCATTTTTTAAAGAAGGGTCTCTGGGTCGTTCAAGCCACTGTTAAATACTGCAGTAATTCCGTGCTTCTCAGCAAATCTGCTTTAAGAATTCCAAACACTCTCCCAGGAACCATGTACAGTTTTTATTCCTTGCCTCCAATCTAGCATGGACAATTATTTATTTTCTTTGCCTTGCACTCAAGGATGTGATGGATGTTATTTACATCAACACACACGCACAGTCACAGATATCTCTCTATAAAAATTAATCTGCAGATGATGAAAAGTGTAAAAGATCTAAAAGGCAAATCCCAAACAAAAGAGCATACTTTATACATAAATATCTTGAAATTATAAAGATCTGAGATTAAGTGGTTTACCACTCATTTAGAATTGATTAGAATGTATTTAAATTTAGCTGAAAGTACCACAACATTGCCCATGTATTTGCATCTGCGAATAAGTAAATAAAAAGCCTGCTATTAAAGCCTTCATTAATTCTGATTATATGAGAACTTAAAAGCAAATCTGTGTATTACTGCTCTGTAAAGACTCCCAGCAACTCTACAGTAAAGCTGGCACTGCAACACAACATGTGTCAGCGAAAATGACTAACAGGATCTATTTTCAGTAATCTTAAATCACACTGGTAAAATATAGAATTAATGGTTTTGCATAATACTTCAAATATTTTTTCTTCTAATTCATTCCCAATTCATGCCTTATTGTATCAAAAAGTGAATTTTATATCACTTGACATTTATGCACAACAGTTGAACACATTTCATTAAACTACAATGTTTAGGCAGCACTCAGATGTGATGTGTATATTATTATAAAGACTGATCCAGCTATTTTATTTCCTTATAAATATGATGACTAGAAGTTTAAAAAAATATATCACATTGACTAGAAACACTAAGAACATTTCATTCTGACTACAGATTTTGAGAGTTTCTATACATTTAATTGAAGCCAACGTTTTTGAAAGAAGGATTCATTAATTTTAGTAGAATTTTCCCCCAATTAAAGACCTGTCTGTTGATTTCTAAGGAGTTTAACAATTAAGGATAAAATCAACCCCAACTAATAAATAAAATAAATGTGTTAAAGCAATTTTGTGTCTGCAGAAACTTGAGTTTGCAACACTGATTCATGTGTCAGCCCTGATATTCCCTTTGGACTGTGAAGGACAGTCCTGGTAAAGCTCCTTCTGCAAACTCTACTTTTTCAGGGCTTGACTCAAAACCTGAGTGAATATTTCTGACTTGAGTGGCACTGAAGTTCCCAGACCAGCAAGGGTCTATATTCCATTTATACATGAAAGGAGATTTGGAGTATTGAGGGGAGAAAGAGCAAAAGACCCTTTACATTTGGTACATATGAAATGATGCTCCAAAATCCCAGAACGTGCACTTGCCACTCTCATAGTTGAAAAGTCATTCCAAGTAAAACAAAATGCAACAAGAATCAACCTCCTCCAACATTTAGAAATTAAACTCAGAGTTATAAGGTGGAGTTTGATTAAAGATTTTGCACTCAATCACATCCAATAATCAGACTGATTTAGAACACTCTATACTTTATAGAGTTGGCCTCAAAATAAACTACTTTTCCCTATAGTTTCTAGGCCCAAGTGCCAAGTCGATTACCCAGGAATCAACATTACAAAACATTTTAAGGCACCATGCAAGACAAAGGATCAAAGCAATTTTTAGTATTTAGTTATACAGAAAAGTATACCTGATAGTCTAAAATGCTGAATCCTAAACCATTTTTGTCTTTCTCCAGTTCAATAACCTTCACATCAGGAGACCATAATGCTAATTCTCCTTCTTCCTCCTCAGGGTTAGAGTCTTCCTCAGGTTTCACCTGAAAATTAAAAGCTCTAGTTAAAATACTATTCTTTCAGTTCTTTAAAAACATTATTCCTTCTATATTTTGATTATTAATGGTGCATACATGACCTAAAACATGACCTTTTATGGAATTAAAACTTCATTAAACATTATGAATATAGTTTGCTCCAGCTTGCTGCCTTGAGTACTCCCCTGGAACCATGTTTTGAGCATCAGGGCCCAACCTGGCACACAAACATGCATTTATTAGTCTAATTAATTAATTGTTATAATATTACTAACCTGTTACATGTTGATGAACTTCAGCTGTCCCATTAGATGCATAAAGGAAAAATAAATAGCATAAAAGATTTAACCACAGACAGCTAATAGAAAGACCAGACTACCAGAAAAGATGAGAAGCCAAGCTGTAAATACTTTTGCAAATAGGAACAACCACAAGTGTCATGTTTTAGTTTGAGACTTTAAAGCTTCCACAATGGAAAGAAACATTAGGTTTCATTTTTTTTTCCAGTTCTATAAAAACCTACTCAGAACACGAAAGCAATCAGCTAATGGTGGCAAGGATGTGATTTAGTATAATTCAGAGCTCTCACTCACCTATTAAGTGTAGGAATGATGAATGGGATGTACAGAGTCAGCAATGCAGCTCCATGATTTACCTACCTTGTCTTTATAGAACAATGAAGTTTCTCATGACCAACCTTTATAAACTCAGGAATATATGCACTTTTTTCACAAGTTAATGACAGAAGAAGTCTACCTTTTGTTCTGGAAGGGAAACTCCCACGGTGGGCTCATCTACAAGTGACTCACTGCCATCATCAAAGAGTCGCCGACAGCAAACCAGTGTAAATGGGGGTGGCACTTCCTTGAGGAAAGTGACTGCCTCCCGCCGGGATTTTCCATACAGCTGGACTCCATTTACCTATACAGAAGAGAAACACCAAAAGAATTAAAGGATATCAACCAGATTCTTTTATTTAGGGTTTCCCCGCCCCCACATATTTCTTTCCCCACCTGAGCGTGAAAGTCTAATTTTACCTGGGGATTCTGGCACAGCTTGCAAAGTTTTATTAACTTCTGAAGAATATATAGATTATTATAAGACTTAAACTTCATCTGCAAGATCTTGTAACTTCTGACAGCTGCATCATGTCTCTTCAGCTTCCTCAAACCTCTTTTCTGTGCAGGGCCAGGAGTTGGACTCGATGATCACGATGGGTCCTTTCCAACTCAGCATACTCTCTGATTCTATTTTTCCTAGCCTAAATCTTTCCTGGAATTCTTCTTTCTCACCTGTTTCTTTGTTGGGGAATTTTTTTTAGCATTAGGCTTATTGTGTTTGAATTTAAAAAGAAAAGAATTTAACTTTTCCACAATATTTAAAGAAAACACAGGTTCTGAGCTCTAATCAAAAAACTCAAGTCAGAACTAGCACAACTAGTTTAACAGTTGGACTCGATGACCTTAGAGGCGTTCCAACCCCAATGACTCTATGACTCTAACTTTGCCAGTTTAAAATGTAACAAAGTGGTTGAAACTAAAACAGATCCTACAGAAAACATCCAGGGATGTTTATATAGTAAAAAAAAGAAACCAACTGCAGTAAGTAATTAATCAGAAAATCGTGACAAGGTTCAAAGCTTACCATCCGATAAGCTTGAGATCCTGAGTGACAACAGAAAACCATAACGCCATTGTTAATGGATGTTTTAAACCACAGACTTTGAAACAGAAGAAAAAGAGATAGACAGATTAGACAGATAGATAGATAGATAGACAGATAATGCTGCTTTAAAAATGGGATACTGCAATTGTACTTTTTTGCCCAGAAAAGCTGTGGCTGCCCCATCCCTGGAAGTGTTCAAGGCCAAGTTGGACAGGGCTTGGAGCAACCTGGTCTAGTGAAAGGTGTCCTTGCCCGTGGCAGGGGGTCTAACTAGGTGATTTTTAAGGTCCCCTTCAATCCAAACCATTCTGTGATTCTACTTCCTCAGGAAAATAACATGCAATATCCTGAGGGTACATCTATTTGGACCACAGGGGTATCCCTAAACACAAGAAAAGCAGAATGTCAGGAGGTGTCAGTGATGTGAACATCAACTATCTTGACCAGCACTGCAGCCCCAAAGGAGCAGGAATTTCATCTAATTAGTGCTATGGACTCAATCCCAATATCTCTTGTGTTTCAGGGATTTCTTTCAGGCTGCCTCAAGTCTGCTCTCATGACCAAACATCCAAAGTTGCTGGAGTGCAACCACTGGTTTAGGTGGAAATCCAGCACACATCATCCAAGTCGCTCCACAACAGGAACCAAAGCACAGTAAGTGGGGATAATTGAAAATACTCTTCAATACTTCCCTCCACACCCAAACTGCAGATGAACTCACATTTGATCCTAGAAAACAGAGCATGAAAACATGCAATGTACATGTGTACACCTCTGTACAATGAGGCAGAGTCTTTCCACGTACTTCTCAGATCTTGCTGTTTAGAATTCAATCTTATGCAAGGCTCACAGAAAGCTCACTTCAGCCAACATTTTCCTCCTGATCATTTCTATTTTTTCCTCCCCCACTTTATGCTTTTTGCAGTGTAAATTTAGTTTATACTGCTGGGAAACACAAAGTTCTTCTCACACTATAGCCCAGGCAAGGAGAAAAATTGAGAGTGGTGTAACCGGCCTCCGCCATGGTAAGATGAACTGCTCTAGGTTTTTTCAGTAAGAATTACAGCAAGTGCTGAGCTATCAGACTAATCCATTAGTTAATTATTTAAGAAGAAGGATCTACGCATAAGGATTTTTTAATGCATTGAGAGTGGCAGTGTGTGGTGGAAAGTTACCAGCACTTCTCAGCATCCTGTGATTGATGGGGAAGAGCTACCCTGCACTCCCCAGCAGACATGGGGACTCCCATTTCTTCTTTGGCAGCTGCCAGAAATCAGCTTCTAAGCAGGCAAGGTGCCCTACACCCATTCAGTCACCACCCCGCTCCAGTGATTTGTGCCATCAAATAGGAGTGAAATTTTACAACAAAACCAGAAGGACACAAAGCCCTTTACTCCTAAAACAGAACACAGTGAAATTACCTAAAATTAAGGTCAGGGGAGGAATATCATGCATCCTATCATAATTCAAACACATCATTAAAAATAATCAACATTCAACTCTACTATATATTAAAAAAAACTCCTTGCAGATCAGATTTTAATCCCAACCCTATCAGGCCCAGGTAGGGCTAATTGTTTTGGGAATGGGGCTGTCACTTTTTCCACTGCAAACTCCTGCTTAAGGGGATTTCTAACTTGGCTGCAAAAACATACTCTGGGCTAAACCTGGCACATAAAGCTTTGGCCCCAGAGCACATTTTTATTTTGTTGGGGTTTTTTTTCCAGTTACAGTGTAGAAAATAATTTATGCTCACTAGGTCTGGACATACCTGTGAACTTAAATGTAAGTAATACATAAATAAACAGTAATACATAAAACTGTTAAATATATGCAATAAAAGTTTCCTAAGTTACTCTACAGCACTGCATTATTGTTTTTTGTATATAATTTTTTGTTTAATGGCCAAGGAATTTAAATGACACTTCCAGCATTCCATTAATCCTTTCCTTAAGGAATCAAGATTTCCTCCATTACACCATAAGAAAATGTTTTAGGTCTTAGTGATATCAGTATGAATTTTTGATGTTAAAAGGTGAATAAGTAAAAGCAAAATAGCTGTACACCTAACAAATCAATCTTTACAAAGGCCTAATTCTGTTTCCATTAAATGTTCTTTGCATCCACTAAAAAAGGTTCAAATATTCCACAAAGAGCAGGTATTCAATAGGACATCTTTTCACTTGCAGGCTGAGATACTGATAGATACACGTACACACACACACATACACACACAAAATAGGTATTATTTTAATATTTTCAAATAATTATTTTACCTGAGCAAATAGGTCTAGTGTGATTCTCATAAGTTCAAAACTGCCCCAATACCTCTCTATACATATTTAAACAAACTGATGTACTTGCTCATACACACAAATGTGTTTCAACACTCAGTAAGCAAGTTATAATGTGTAACTGGAACCACTACTCCTAAGACTGTTGTAAATTTTTTAGGAGTGAAAAATATTCAGAAAGATTATCCACCACAAAAGCTAATGCCAAATTGTGCAAAAGACTGAGCTACAGGACTACAAATAATTCAACACAAATATTATCTGTGCCCTTATAACTCTTCATACTTGTGTTAAAACATTTCAGAAAAAAACCCAACATGAAGTCACTAAGAGGTCACAAAAATGTGATATTTTGTCCAGAAAGGAGGAAGGAAACAGGAAAGAAAATTAATGTGAATTCCAAAGCACTACTCTGCTTCCACAACTAACTCTGGAATACTCCTATTGCACACACAGAGCCAAATCAGAATTTAATACAAGCATTTTGAAGAAGGCCAAGCAAATAGGAAATACATCAGGTTCTATTTTGGGGCGGGTTCTGTTTTGTTTTTTACCTCCAGAAGTTCATCCTCCAGTTGCAGAAGACCAAGTGCTGCAGGTGAACCATCTGAAGTAATTGATGATATATAATGATGTCCATCAAACGTGTCAAGCTCAACACCTAATCTCCAAGTGTGGATGGGTAATAGCTGCCAAAAGAGAAGTATATATATAAAGTACAAATCTTATCTACCACATTTAGGATTCAGGAACTCACCAAACTGAACTAAACACACAGTAAGATGATTAAGTCTTCATGGTGACACCGCTGGCACTACTGCTCAAGTATCTATAATTTCTCTTTTACAAACTGTTTGCACAAATAAAAACAACCAGTCTGCTCTTTGGGGGCAAAGGCAATTAGAACTGTATTGGGGGGTGGTGGAGTTGTATTAAAAGGTTCGTTTGCCCATGTTAAGAAAAGGTATTGGATCAGTCCAGAAGATAAGCAGAATATTGGCAGCCTTTTTTTGGGAAAGATAGAGCCATAAACCCACCAAATTCCTGAAACGATCTGGAATTGTGTCATGTCCTTCTAGAATTACTCTGCCAACATATATCATGAAGGAAACCACCGTGTAAGTCATACCTTTGAGTACTTCTGGAGCTCTGAATCATCTGTAATGGGCATATCCACATTCACAACCTAAAAATTGGACATCAGAACATTTTTCAATAGCAGGATAATAAAGACTTTACCGGAACCATGAATTCTGGCAAAAAAAACTCATGAGCAAAATAAACTACACTTAAACAAAGTCACATGGATGCAAAATAATTTTAAACAAATGTTAGAAAAATCTTTCAGGCGCAGAACATTTACGAGTAGGAATGTGGTGATTATGCACCATTAGCAGACTCCAATATTATCCTATTCCCGAAGCTCAAATGCCAATTTTAGTCAAGTTCAGTAATCCTGTGTAAGCACAAAATGCCATTATGTTTGACACAAATACCCAAACGGACTTGCCAACCAGAATTTGAAAGTACTATAGTTTAAGTTATTACCTCAGGCTATACTGCAGCCATCTAACATCTAGATTAACCCACCATCTTCTGCAGTATATTTCTAACATGGCTTGAAATATATGAGTTTAATTACCAAATCTGACTGTAAATTGGAGTATTTAAAACAATGCCAGGAAATCCCTTCAGTATATTTTCATTCTTTTTAATATTAATAAAGTAACTATGTCCATCACCAGTTTTCTTGTAATGTTATTCCTTAACACAACTGAGTTATCAGTAATCTTACAAGGTTATTTAGTGCAATTTTGAATGCACTAAGATGACACAGAATCATAGAATGGTTTGGGTTGGAAGGGACACTGAAGATTATCTAGTTTCAACCTATGGCCCAGGGCTGGAGTTTAGGACACTGAAGTGGAGTATGTTTGGCAGGAAAGATACACTTGTTAAACCTGGAAAATACATAACCTTACAAAAAATCGGGCTATTTTCCTTTGGAAATTACTAGTTTGACAAAGTATCTATGAAACAATACTAAGCCTCAGGTTTTTCTTTTGGATTAATTTTAAATAGGGCTTCCAGCATCTTGTTTTCCAGTACCTAGGTTGTTTTTCCCAACAGACAGAATCCAATTCATGTCTATCTAGTTGTAATTAAATGAATCTATGACTGATACCTCCTCAGCTTGACTGCTCATGCAGTACATGGCCACAAGCACTACCCAGTCACACATCCTTGCCCAGAATTTCAGCTCCTTCCATTGCTACCACAAAGGATCAGCAATACATAAGCCATGAGGGACACCAAGCTCTCTCTTCAAACATCTATTTCCTCTGAAAATAAATCCTCTGAGACAATACTGCAGGCACCTTTAGGGTGACTTTCTGGGAGCTGAGTGTAGGAGTGAGAATGGTGTGACACAGGGACTGGTATGTCACAGGCTGAAATCAAACTGAACATTGTTATTGAACACAATTAAGCCAGAGCAGAGGTAGGTACAGGCAACAAGAATCACAAGATGACTTTCAAAATGGGGTGCCACAAGAGTTTCCTTCTGTTATTTAAAAGGCCCAATCGTTACCATTTTCACTTCTGACATTTCACTGGCGGCAGCCGAAGAAGAATTAGAAATGGCCTGTTTCACCAGCTAAGCAGGTTTTCGTCCTCTGTGGGAAGTGTGATGGTGCTAAGGGAAGTAATACCAGCCTCTTGAAATGTAAGGATGGGAATACCAAACAACTGAAGTGGGCAGCCAAACAGATTTATTGCATCATGTACATAATCTTACACGAACCTCAGATCTTAAAGGAGTGCTAATGGAAAAGAAGAGAAGCGAGTTTCTCAAGGCAATTCTTAAAGCTACTTTAAATCTTCCAGCGAGTGACTGGAACGATGGCTACTCCAAGTAGTAAAAATAAGTGTCTCTAAATCAACTGGACAAGCATTGCAAAGACAAACAGGGCATTTTCTTGGTGGTGGTGAGAATTTTTTAAGGCTTTGGGAAGAACACTGGCTGAAGTCTTTTATCTCTAATTACTGGTTCGCCCAGCACTGAAAAGCAGAAGTGAATTACAATTTCCATCAACTCCTCATGACAATTCATCAAAACAATCTTTTGCTTGGCAATTGTTTAATACAAAGTGAAGAAATACCTAATGGACACTGGCACCACAAAGTTACACTACTGAGAATTACTTCCTATTTTCCCAGCATGTTTGAAAATCATTCTTTCATTCTTCAGATAAAATTGTATGATTCTTGTGAAAACAGGAGCTCTATCCTGAGCCTTTCTTTTCCCAGTGTACAACAGAACAAATAGATCATGAATGAAATAATAAAAATGCCACATATTTTAAGTGGCTGCTATGATGCAGAATTAAAAGGACAGCTGATTTTCTTAAATCACTGTTCCTATGTAGTATAAGAACAGTATCTATATAAACAAAATAAAAGAACAACAAAAACCCCAACTCATTATAACATATATTTCAGCTTTGATGTTACAGGACAGAAAATTTGATGTAACTGATCTGTTCCAAACACTAAACTGTTCTATAAACGGCCTGTAATACTAAGCTCACAGATCTGTAATTTAAAGAAATAACATTCATGATGTAATTTATTGAAATACAACATACCATAACTTCGTATTCTGGTCCCAACAGGTTTTCCCACTTGGATTTTAGTTCATGTGCTGGAGGAAGTGGGACTCTTCCTAAATATGAAAGTGAATATTAAATTTACAAGCATATTGTACATTCAGAAGCACATTTACTTCTAAATACTTCAATAAAAATTCAGTGTAAATAGAAGATTAGAGGGAATAATCCCCAAAAGGAAAGTGCATTAAGCTGAGTCTATCAAACAGTACAAATCAAAAATGTCTTTCTTAGGAAAACAATGCAAAATGTCAGCTCCTGCTAACGTGTGATTTATTCAGCTGAGAAGCAGAAGAGGTGATGCTTGATGATGAGATGCGAGTTCTGTACCATACAGTACTGTAAATAAATCATTCTTTCAGGCTGCAAAAACAAATTTCACACGACTTCATAATTTGCTGCTATAAAAACCCTTTGCCACTCCAGGGAAACATCATCTCCCACCCAAATGAACCCCCTTAAGAAGTAAAACACCTGACAAGATATTGCTGTTATCGAGGGGCTGTGTCAGCACAATGCAGGCACAGACTTTATTTATACATTTGGCAGGTATAAAGGCTTGTCTACTTTAATTAGGCCAGTAAGTAACATGAGCTTTAATATAAGCTCCAGTTCTAAACCAGTCTTCCGTGGGAACTTGGCTATCTTGACATTTATATCTTTTCAGCTTTCTTACTTATGCAACCAAGGCAGTATTACAGTCATGTAAGACAATTTGACAGAGCTAGACAGCAGAAAATGACTGGCTGCCCTGCGTTTGACCTCATCCAGAAGCTCAGCTCACATATAAAGTTCCAGGCCAGAGCAATGTGTAACTGGTAAGAATCAAACTCCACAGCAAATTCCATCCAGCAGCTACAGCAGCAGCAACTGGGGGCTGAATTACCAAAACCTGTTTTTTTTCCCCCCCTGAATGACTGCAGTAGTTTGTCAGATGTCTAGACAAGGCACAGACCACTCAGTATTGCTGATGCGTCACACCGAAATTTGGAATGTAAATCACAAGCTCACATTTTGCACACAAACCAGTGAGTAAAATACCTCAAGGGGGGAAGTTTGAAGTCCACCTACCAGCAACAGCCTACACAAATGACATGTCAAGCTGCCTCTGCTTTCAACACCTTTGAACGCTGCAAAGATAAAGCCTTGCTATAGAATCCTCATTACTTCGTTTTTAAAACTGGATGCTTTCCACTCGTTAAAATAAAAGATAGAAGTTAACTTCTACAACAACAGAACTCATCACTGTATCTCTTCTGCTCACTTTCAGTCATGCCAGATAGGTAAATTCTGTGTGATTTGCACTGAGAAACCACCTTCCTCAGAGCCTAACAACCAAGATTTCACTTGGAAATATCCAGAGCTTCTTTAACCTGTAGGCTCAGAGAGATACAGATATTCCAGAATTCCAGTAAACCTGATAGCTATTTTCTGCTACCAAAAAGACACCCCACCAAGATTAAAAACTTGAGTTTGTAAATACAGGCCACAGTTCTCTCTGAAATAAATTATCTCCTTAAAATAAAGGGCAGACAAATTGTCCTGAAATTCTTTCCCTCATTGAAATTTAATTAAAGTTTCTAATGTGAACCTTGTTATCAAGCACAGGCTGATCACTATCTTTACTTCCCAATTGTAGCAAAACCAGAACACCAGTGCATTCTTCTACTCTTTCAATTTGCAGAAATACATAGGGACAAAAATTCCTTAGTTTGTCTTTCTGCTATTAGAAAGTTACAACAGCGTGAACACACAGGACCTAAGCACCTGCAATCCCCTGTGCAGCCAAATATAGATTTGAAGGTTCACCAGGAGTAATGAATCTCAGGGTCAAGCTCAAAGTTCACAGTGTAAGCTGTGTTCAGCTGGCTGAATACAGATTTTTTTGTCACTTCCAAAACACATTACCAAAATCTATGAGTTGTTCAGAGCAGGTGCTGATGCACGTCTCCATTTGAAGTTTTCCCCTTTCTTTCTTTCAAACACTCTTTGAAGTCTTTGCTCGTAACTTCCTCAGAACTGTGGAAATGTTGGCTGAAGGGATTTGGATTGAATATATTCAATTCCAAAGCTATCACTCAATTCACTTGCAATGTTCCATTTTCCCCAAACAGCTTTTTCCACATGGCAGCTAATAGGAAGTTTCTTTCTAGTATCTCATCCAGCTGAATTTCTCATGACCTGACATATGTGCCATGTCTTTTTATAATGTACAAGGACTCAGAAAACAAAACCACATCACCACTTCTCAGGGACAGCTTTCATTAGCAACTTTCAGTGTATTTAGTCTGTCCTTCTGCCTGTGCTTCCATAAAGTTTTTCATTTCTAATTACCAAGCATCAAGAATAAACCAAAAATGCATGGGAAAATCATATTTTCTGGTCAAAATTGGGATCTTTTCTTCTTACAATTTCCTCGTGGTTTAGCAAACTTACTAATGCTCTATCTTTACCTGCCCTACTGCTAAATCTTTTTCCCCAGACACCTTCAAGCTCCTGACTCACATCACTGTATATCTAGGTTCTGAGTACTCCTGCAAGGCAAGAGAAAGCAGTTCTGCTCAGTCTGAAGCCTTGTTAATTAAGTTAATTGCTTCTATGCTGCTAACACAGAGTTTCAGGCCTTGTGCACATTGCATCCTAAACCATGTTGCCTTTGTAACAGAACTACTTAAGCATGGTATTACCTGGCCAGAATTACTATTTAATACCTCCCCAGGAAACACAATTTAATAAGAATTTCACACAACTGGGCTTAAAGGGAAGTAATACACATTTTATAAAACATACCTTTTACATTAAACTTTTAAAAGCATTTCCAGAGTTTAGTCAGAGCCTTAAATTAGCCGTATTTACTTTAGCACCATTATAATGAAGTGCCCATCACCACGTCCAAAATAAGCACCTATCTTTGGAATTGAAACCTGGCCATTAAATTCTATTCTGAGGTGAAATCTTATACATCGTATTTCTGCAGGAGTAAAATTTGCAACTTAAGTATTTCAACTTTTTAACAGAGGCACATGCACTTTATAGTTGCATAAAGCTTTTGCAGAACATTGTACCTGAAAGTTTTTCAGAGGGAAAACCACAGTTTAATTAGCAATGGGACTTGCTTCCCACGGCACTAAATGCTCCTGATTCGTTACTCAGTTCCAAAGCCTTGCCTGTGGCATTTTCCTGCTGGCCAAGGAGGACCAGTACAGTCAATGGCATCAAGGGCTGTATCCAGCTACAAACAACATCTTCAGTGTTTAAATTCTGGTATTCCAAGACATACTGCATGCAAACCCATCATCTTGTAGTCTCCAAGGTAAGGGGAGCTTGGATACATGGGAGAATAGGAAAATCTCCTAGTACAGGTGCTACATCATGCTCTGGGGAATGAAATGCCGCTCTATCACACTGCCCTTGCAAGGAACCCCCATGGATCCAATACACCTTGAGACTAACACAGTTTGTTACCTTCAAGCCAGGTAAAAGAAATTTTAGTTCCCAGCATAAACTGATACCAGCACTGACACACCGTATTTGCACAGCACCAGGTATTGGGTAACAAATCCCTCAGAGAGTTCTCTTTGCATCAGAACAGACACCTGTAGCCTGTGATAACCCAACCACCAGTGGTCAGGAGCTGATTACAGAGATATTGTTCACTTCAGCAGAAAAAGAAAATACTTTATTCATAGGAAGTTCCACAGTCAAAAAAGACTATATAAGTGATACAGGACAGCATGTGTTGCTCTTTTCCAGCCTCTGCCACAGCAAGTCTAAATCCTTCTGGCTCTTCTGCCCCTAAATACATCCTCCTACTCAGCCCTTAAGTCATCAGTCCATTGTAACTACAAATCAATATGTGCTTTCCTACTCATACAGCTAAAACAATGCTTTGATAACCTCAACTCTCAGCTACTCAACCGCCTCTGTTCTGGCTTCCTACTTCTGGGAACACACAAAAGTCACAACAAAGGATGTCTGGTTACAAGGCTTGGACAGAAAAGTAAAACAGAATGGAATATAGGAACTGCTACATTTCTCTTGTTTCCAGGTTGTCTTTAATACTGACAGATCTTCAACAATCATAGCAAAATTGTTATTCATTGACAGCCGTAATTTAGAATCCTCTATTACATCTACATATCTTAGAAACTACAAGGCATAAGGATAATTTATGCTGACTTTAACACAAGCTGTATAAATTCACCCAGAAGTTCCTGTGGAAAAGCCCAGAAATCTGTAGGGAAATTGAAGCGTGCCTTCTGGAAAGACCTCCAACCTTGATTCCCAAGTCAGCTAAAACCCAAAGCAAGTCTTTGTGACCTGCCCCTATTGTCCATTTGCCTTTGCTGTTAAAAACATGCCTAATTTGAACTCCAGCTATCAGGTCTTTATGTCTAAGACACAAGTTCTGATGAAGTTACTGCAGTGTCAAAAGAGGAAACTGCAACAAATGGGCATTAGGGATGTTGTACAGGAAACCAGAAGAATATTATGAAAATAATCCGCAAGAGTCCAAGGCCTGTGAGGGCAAGAAGATTTCAGAATCATTCAGGTTGGAAAAGACTTCTAAGATCATCAAGTCCAACTATTAATGGATATGAGTGAGGTAACACTGGATCAGGAAACAGATATGAACTCCTGGGAGTTCCATCTCCTGATGCTGCTCACCCAGCATTGTGGTTCAGGGCCCTGGCAGCACAGGAGGATGAACAAATCTTCTCTCTCAGATGACTGCTGGCAGGACACCTCAGGTCATGAGAGCAGGACCAGAACTAGAAAGAGGACTCACTGAACTTTCAGCTCTATAGAGTCTATGAGATCTGTTACAGAGTACTGAAAGGGCTGCACCTCCACTGCCTATAACCTTAAAAAAACCCTCCCAAAACAAAGGGGATTACTATTGACTGGAAAAGGGCAAATTTTACACAAGGAGGAAGATCCAGAGACTGACAGGCCCCGCAATCATGAGAGACTTCTTGGAATCCATTTCCAAAGACACAGATGAAAAGAAAACAAATCAGGAACAGTCAATATAGGTTTGCCAAGTAAATGACCAATCTGACTGCAAGACAGCAATGTGGATGAAGGTGTAACACACTTCAACTTTACTGAAGCTTTTGACACCATTTACATCAGCATTCCCATTTGGAAACTGAGGAAACATAGGCTAAATAGGCTGAAAACCAGATGGAGCACAGGGACCAAAGACAGCATTAATGAATGGATTGGCACCCAGTTATGAGCGGAGCTGAATATCTACAGGGCTGATGTGATCCAGTGTCTTCATCAGTGATCCCCATGATGACACAGAATGCACATTGTGGGGACAGGGTGGGGTGGGAGAGTCGATAGATCCAACAGGTAGAGTTTTACTTCTGAGGGAACTGAATAAAAAGCATTACAAGGTAAAAGTTGAAGATGGAATAAGCCATGACAGCCCGTCAGTAATGAAAATGAATTAAAGACAGTCCCAAGGCTCAGAAGAGACACTGCAAGATATCCTATCTACCTGCTTTATGTAGACTCTGCTGCTTTTCACTTTGAAGATTATCCTTCTGTTCTTGTTTTCCCTCATTCTTAGTGTCCACACTAACTTCAGTCTCTACAGCTGCAGGGGACACAAAGACTGGAACAGTTGGCTGCACTGTGAGAACAAATGAAAAAAACCAAATCATATGCTGCAAAATATAGGAAGTAGTAACAACACCTCGTTAATTCTGGGGGGGAAGGCACTCAATTTTCCTGAATTTCTTGGTTTTTTGTCTTTCCATTCCTTCTGAAGTATCTCATTTTCTACAGTGTGCTTTTACAAAATCTAGGATCACGTTGTATCTAGTCCTGAATTGTTAAATGAGGTAACTGTAAACTGAGTGAAAAATAAAATCAGTTGCTAGAAAAAAGAGAAAAAAAGGATTACCTCTATCTGAAGGTCTTTCTGAAGAAATAGTAGAGGGAGGTTTCCTTCTAAGTAAAGTGAGACGTACAGTCTGTCCTGTGTTCCTCAATACCTCTACCACTTCCTGGTTGCTATAATCTTGTATATTAACCCCATCAACCTAAAACAAGAAAATTGTATCAAAGAATAGTAATTGTTTTCCATTCTTAGGCTATGTAGTGTAGTATCATACACTGTAAGCATCAGCCATACTATTTTGTGCAGGAATTATAGGGTTATTCTCCCAAGACAGTAGTATTTGCAAAACAATCTCATTAAATCAGTTACATTTCACTAATGAGATAATATTTTCAAAATGCATTTTAAAAGGAAACAAAACAGTAATTTCTTGATTTCATGGGGCAACCACAAAGCACAATTTACTTATCTGATACACATATGCACAGATTTTCCCTGATTTTTTTTTGTTTACAAAAACCAGTCTTGACAAGGATTGTGGATTGAAGCTCCCCAGCAGAGCAGTCAACCTGGAATTCTGTTCAGTTCATTATCACTGTTTTCTCACAGATTTCAAACACGCCCCAAACAAGTCTATATACACATCTGTTTGTTCAATCCATTCTGAACAGTCCAATTCTTACATTTTCAGATATTTTAATTTACACCCAAAATACTCTGTTCACCTCACTGTCAGATCATGCATCAATAGGAGCTTTTCCTGCAGATAAAATGTTGTATCAAATTTTGCTCTCACAAAGGAGAAGCTGACTTTGGAAGGTCTGGCATAGCACACATTTTAAAAGTAATTTAAACTCATATCTCCATAAATATTATCTCTTAAAACAAAAGGACTGTGTAATTCATTCCTGCTTGTACTATGAATGCAAAATTGGCTATTATTCAATTCACTGTTATTCAACTTTTTTTCCCCATTTTTCTACACATAAAGCTTGGGATTTTAAACCTAATTTGTGACCATTAACATCTTGATTGCATCCACACTCCACAGCCGTTAAGGACCATAAACAATGTACCACATCTTGCAAAATCTTAACCATCCTCACGCAAATCACATGCAATTCAATTGGAAGTTAATGCTGCTCATCTATACTGCAGGCCAAAAGCCAAGATTCTCCACTCTGAAACACTTTAATCCAAATGCTTGCCTCTTTCATAGTTAACTACTATTTACTACTTCTTTGAATATAAAATAATACTTTAACCACAGCAAGCCAAAGCTCATTTCTGTCACAAATCTACCTAAACAAATACAAACCACCAAATTATTTCTTCTGCAAAGCAGAGGAGGTTTAATTAATTTTTGAAAGTCTCTACTACGTTGTTCTTTTAGCACTGAGATGTGTAATGAAGTATTAGTTCTACAGCAATATGTAAGAAGAGTATTTTACTTACAGCAACAATTTTGTCATGGACATGAATTTGGCCATTGTGGTCAGCAGCACTCCCAGGTATTATATTTTTCACAAAAATCCCTGAAGGTTCTGCTGGAGAGGACAGAAAGAAGTCACTGCATTAACCTAATCTGTTTCTTTTCTGACTAAGATTTTTAATTCCAGCCTTTTTCACACACTTCTTTCCATAAAGTGATGATTGTGTAAACCACCAATATTTGCATGTTACCACTCACACAACTTGATATGAAATGACTGAGGATCTCTGGTGGAAAAACCAGCACTGACACAACCACCTGTACACTGACCTCAAAATTCTTCCCTTAAAATGGCTCACAAAAGGCTGCCTCCTCCATGGATTCATCCTCGTGCTTACCCAGGCTTTAAACCACAATCACTTAAATCCATGCTGCATTTGATTTCAATAGGACTAACTAAGCTAAAAGTAAAGTACGTGCTTAAGGACTTTGATCAGGACTTCAATCATCTTACAGCTAAAGAATTTAGTACTTTAAATCTTAATGAAGAAGGATTTTTCTTTTTTTAAAAAAAGAGAAACATGGAAATCAGAAAAGCCGTCCTTTGTCATGTCTGACGTTTGATTATTAATTCTAATTAGAACAAGGAAATAAAAACAAAACAAAACAGTAAAAACCCCCGAAACACTAACACTTCCACCAACTCACGCTAAATAAGAAACACTGATCTTTAATTCTGGCAAATCTTCACACTCCATCCATCCTTTTCTGGACACTGACCTTCATCAAACACCTGCCCAACATGGTTTGTCTATGCTCTAAAAATCCCTCCACCAGTGCTTCAAACTCACCTTTTCCCACTGCCTGACATGTGCCCCTCCCCAGCCCCCTGCACTGGCCTGGGATTCCTGCCTGGCAACACAAGAGGATCTCCTTGTGCGAAAGAACAAAGAGCGTTTGAGAGGAACTCCAGCTGCACCATGTTCCCAAATTACCTCGACTCCCACAAGGAAGGAGAGGGATAAAAAGCACTACCCCTTTGTGTAAAACCAGATATTCAGTTGGGTCAATTTTAAAGATATTATCATTTGTGCAACCAATATCTGAAAGACAAGTTAACAGCTCTAATTTAAAGAGGATTTAGGGGAAAAAAACCAGCTGATTGCATGTCCCCATATCCTACCACAGGTAGGAGCTATTCATTTTCCCCATAGTTAATAAAGGGTATTTGAGAAGCCCCTTTCCTAGACCTACTACATCCTGTAGAACTCACCTACATCACATGTGCCAGCATATCCAACAATTGTTATTCCCAGGCTTTGCCCATTCTTTTTTACCAGTTCAACGTCATAGGTATCAAAAAGGTTGATATCCTATAAATAAAGCATAAGACAGTAAAAAAAACTTGTAATTTCGCAGTACCGTTACAATATTGCAGGTTAATTAAGATCTTCGGAAGTGAGCAGTGATTTTGATTTTCCTGTTTTAAGAAGGATTGTATTTGTTAGACAGACATAACCAAGATTTGCTGAAAATAAAGTGTCACCAAAGTCTTTGTTTGCTTTTTAAATTTTTTCCCAATACCCGATCCATATAGCTGTCAGAGGTATAATATAAACATTTTATTGAAAGGTTTTTATTAGACTACTCAGGGGCCATTTCCCTTTGGATTCCACTTGGTAACTACAAACTTCCCAGTCAATCCCTCAAGACAACAAAAATCCTGAATGCCCTCAGAATTTCTTCTCTCCCTTTAAAATGTGAGTCCTGATGTTTGCTGTGATCCTGTTCAGGTTTGACCACCATCAAGCTGCAAGGAGAACCAGAAGCCTCCAGGTTGTCCATGGCAATGGGATGCAAAAGCCTCATTAGCTTGCATTCAGATAAAATCATTTTTAAGACCTATCAGAAAAGGGAGATAACTCCTTTGTAAATGCAATGTAAATTCATTTGTAAAGTCCCTACAAAGCTGCCTCAGGATGTCTGTGCAATTCTCCTCTGACCAGTAAAAATCTAAACTGCAAGACAAGAGTTCAAACAGGGAACAGTAAAGACATTCGTGAGACCAAAGAGAAAAACAATCAAGCACATAAATCTGGGATTGCAACGGATAAGTTAAAATACATAGAGTTGTTTGTTTTCAGTAATCAGACTGTACAGCCCAATGAGATCAAAAAGAAGATGATGAGAGTAAGGCCTGTTAAAGTGATGAAATCAAGAGGGGATACTGTCACTGCCAACAGCAAAAAACGGACTGGGAAACTGGAAAACATTTCTTAAGGAAGTGAAAAAGATAAGTTTAATCAAATGCTTGCCAAGTATCAGCTTTGGATAGACCCATATTAAAAGCAGGGCGGAGTTATAGCCATATTGCACTTTTCAATGAAAGAGAAATCAATGGACAGCTATCTCGTCATCACACACTAGCACAGTCATTAAACTCATTAAATGCCTCCCAACTCCCTTGCTCCCTAAGAGGCTGATGGAGATGAAGATAAGTTTTGACGCTGTCACTTATCTATAGAGTAAACAAGCCTATAGAAACACCTGAAATGGAGCTATGGCCTTGAGAGTCCTGCTGTTTTGACAATCAAAAGCTCCTCGGAGTCAATGCTTTAATGCAAAACATTAGAAGGGAGCTTGGAAAAATCAAAGTGCAAAGTCCTAAGTAGAGTCAGCACAAGTAGGCTGCTAACATTGCTGCCAGTATCTTGGAGAATACAGATGAGAAGTCAGTTTTCTTGTGCCCATGCACAGATGTAGGTAGCTTCAGTTATTCTCTACTACAATAGAGAAATAAGAAATTTAAAGAAAATCAAATATTAATATAAAACTGAAAATAACCAACGATCTATTAAAAATGCCTTTCTGCTAGTTTGCAAAAAAAAGGAAAAAAATTTCTATTCCAAAGCTCACAGCTAGTGAAAGTACTCAGAAATCAGAGAGAAATTAGATTATAGAGAAAATTTCAGACAAAGTGGAAAGGTGAAGCATTGAAATCAACATCAAATTAATGAATACATTCAGTTTAGCCACTAATCTCGTCTTCAGCAAATCTCTCCTAGCACCAGGAAAAGGAGTTTCTTCAAATCTACATATGAAGGCACTACTTAGTTCAGAAAAAGAAGAGATGACATCCAGAAAGAAGTAGATAAAATTGCAAAACTATTTTTTCCCCTCCAAACTACATAGGAGGCATAAGGAGGACACTGAAAATACATCCAGAAGAAATAATATTGTAGAAAGGCTGCAGCATCTACAGTGCTTGGGGTTGATTGGGGACAACACGAAGAGAGAAAAATAGGACTTCGTAGAGGAAACAAAACTAGGATCATGTTATTTTTTCCCTAATATGGGCCTTGGAAAATATGATCCAGTCAGAAAAGAAGTGCCTTGTAACAATGCTGATTCTCTTGGAAAGCTTTTTGTCAGAGTATTGGACAAACTCACCTTTAAGACTCCAATCTTACTTACAAAAATCCCCTCCTCCCATCTCTCTCCCACTCACATTTTGTACTACACCGACCCCTCTTGGGAGAAGAGGAGCTTGAGAAGGACCCAAAATACTCAACTGGCAGCTTCAGTTTTCCAGAAATGCAAGACACAAAGCTACTGGCAGCCCAGCAAGCAAGAAGGTGCATTTATAATAATATGACTTCTACTCTGACCTTTAAAAACGGTGCTTAAAAAAAAATACCTCTCTTCACTCACATTCAAGAAACTAAACAAGAAAGAAAAGGCTACTCAGATTCTACACCTAAATCTAAGCAGCACAGTAGCAGCAGATGGTACACAAGCACAGCTTTGTTTATGTTTCGAGACCTACTGTACACTTAGTGTAGCATTTGTTGATTTTAATTACTCAAAACTGAAAAGAATGACTTCAAAAACAAGAGACTTTGATATGACCATGATAAGATTTGCTAAAACAAGTTTCAAAATTTTTAGATATATTTCCTATCACAGACAGTAGCGTAGACTATGAAAACATTACACTTATGTTTCATAAAAAGATGATTGTGCTGAATAATTCTGGTGTGGCCGTGGCGCTCTGGATTTCAGAGCAGGCAAATTCAGAGTCCAGTTTTAAATCCACTTACAAATGATTGATTAGCAAAAATTTAATGAGCTAAGAAGGAGAACTAAAAGTACCACTTATCGATAATGTTTATGGTCTTGGTAATTAAATTATCCACTCTGAAATAAATTCTGTAAAGCTGGTCATTCCAATCCCAAGATTACAGGTATTAATAACATACAGGAAAAAGGGAAAAATTATAGAAGGCAGGGCTATAATAATGACCACTTAAATACAAGCACACGATATCTGGAAACTCAAGAGAGAAGTAGTACTTTAGGTCTCAAGAACACTCTGTTCTCTCTTTCCTTTCTGATCACAAGCCACAAACATACTTAAAAATGTCATAAGGAAGCAGCAGGTACTTACATTTCCATTTTGAAGGGAAGGTAATGTGCTGACTGGCCAGCTCACAGGAGTTGGTGGAGCCTCCATGACTTCACACTTGGGGTCCCTTGCAACAATCATCCTAACAGAATTCCCACAGTTTCTCAGCACTTGGGCAACTTGCTCACTTGTCATTCCTTGCACATTGGTCCCTCCAATCTGTAAGATGTGATCTCCTGTTCGGAGCCTCCCATCCTTCAAATACAAATAAAATTGAAAAAATGTTTCCAAGCTATATATAAAATATCTGTTCCATTACAAAACTGAAACTTTATGGCATCTTCATGGCCATGAGAACCAATGTGAGAAAACACCAGCAAACTGACCACCATGGCAACATACTAAATAATTCAAGGACTCGTTTGCACAATCATGATCTGTTTTTTCCACTGTTTTGCTCGTTTAGGAGAAAACAGAGAGCAACAATGTTTTATAATCTCACAAATTGTCATGTATTGCTATTTCATAGAACAATCCTCACAGGACAGGGGCTAGAATGAAAGCACAGCATTTTGATTTAGGACTTTTTAGACTTTTTCCTAATACTTCTATATTAGCCTGGCAATTCTTTTCTCATATGAATAACTCCAACTTGAGTGAGTAAATCCAGTGAAGCTAACAAGACTACATATAAACCATTTTTACCTGATAATTATGATTCATGACTAATATCATAATTTCTATTATAAGCAAGCATTCCTAGGACCAAATCCTCAGCTAGTATTGATCAGCACAGCTCCACCAGCTTCAGTGCATTGATTTATACAGCAATCACAGAGTTATTCCCAGAACCAACTCAAACTCATTTACAAAGTCATCCAATTTTAACATGTATATGCATCATTATTTCACATGTTCTTAATGATGTCCTCATTCAGTTGAGAATGATGTGGTGAGTTCTTAACTTACATGCTTCATTGGTAGCCAAAACACTTCATTCCTTACAGCAAAACAGGTGTTAGACAATAATTAAGAAATACTCGTTTATACAGAACAGGTTCAGGGGGATACAGTCAAGCAAAAGCCAACATTGTCCAGTAAAGTTCTTCAAATTTCTAGTTTTTATTTCCATCCTATACTATAGGAAGTACCCTAGCCTCTCTCTTTGTCTGTATGAGTTCCAGTCTTCAGCTATTGTAACTCACTATGATCAAATTCACTTAAAAAATCCAAATCTGTTTTGTTATTGCAAGTGTTCTGCTCTTAAATGCAGCAACACTTAGCACTGAGTCTTTAAATATGAGCAATCAAAGGTTGAAAACTGTACCCGTGCAACTTCAGAAAGTATCAGGAGCTCCAAAAGCCTTTGCATCAAACCTAAGTGTCTCCCTGAACCGGTCAGATTGCAAGGCAGGGATCAAAACCCCTGGAAATGAAATCCACTACAAACAGGACATTTTCAATCTCTAAACTAAATCTTGTAATGCAATGACTTCAATAGAACAGATCCTCTTGCCTAACAATTCATTTGGAGAGTTTGTCCCTATAGATGCTGTCAAATTCTACAGTGTTTTTGTCCTCCCCCACACTGACCAAAAACTGAAAATATAAAAAGTATTGAAAATATGAGACAACTTCTCAGAATTTCTGCATGTTCAACAATGTTACAAAAGCCAAAGCATGTCTGAAAAACAACTTAATTTATATCAGGTGCTGACTTTCTCCTCAATCATACCTTCAACATATTTATTTATGAAGTATATGTTGGCATTCAGACTTTGATGCTATCAGCTTCCTTTTGTTTAAATATATTAGTTTATTTTAAGACTGTCAAAACCAGTTAATTATACTTTACAATCAAACAAGAAGTGACATAATATAACAAATTACCCGATCTGCTAATCCCCCAGGAACAATCGTTCTTACAACTACTCCACTTGACTTTCCTCCTACAATTCCAAAGCCTAATCCCGAACCATCGTTAATCAGCTCAACGTCTTCAATGTGGCCCCAGTGAATCTGCAATTAATAAAAACAGGAGATTTTAATTTGAGTCGATCATTAATGTTTCTCACTTTCACGTGAATGACGAGAATTAATCAGAGCAATTTTCTCTCTCTACCCCACATATTGGAGATCTGTGGGATTTTGTTCACTCAGCTCCATTTCCTTATAAATACGCAGTGGGATTTATCATCTGTTTTTAAACACACAGTTTGTCCTTCACTTTCAGGATAACAGGATACTAGGAAAAAGCTTGACTAGGAAAAAGCAATTTTGAGATTTTCCTGCCAAAATGAAAACTATCCTTTCAGTTTTTCATAAATCAAGAACACTATAAACAAGAGGGAAAAACAGGGGCAAGGAGCTTGCACTGGCCTAGTTTTCACTTAGCCTTGCCCAAATTCTTATTTCTGTTATTCCACTTACTCTAAACACCACCAGTACTGAATTAATAGCACAACACAATATTCTGCCATACTGAATTGGAAGCAAATTTTCCAAGCTACACTGTACCGTGACCTTATGTTCTACAAGACAATCTGAAAATAACAAAGCTGTTAAGCAACCCAAACCCAGCCAATGTTTCTGTCAGATTAATATCTCATAGAAACCAAAATGGAGCAGAGTAGGCAGATTTAAGTCTTCTGTGAATAAAGGATTTATTAGCATACTGAAAATCTTTGCCAAAGCCAGTTAAATATCATAAAAGAAATTTAAGGACCCCCTGTAGAGATATATATTTGTATTTTATTTTGTTAGTCTGTTCAGTGCAGATCTTTCAATGAAAAAGCAGTTAAAGTTTAATTCTTTAAAATTTTCAGTGCAATAAACAATATTGATTATCCACTAAAGCCTTCAGATTTCACTACTTCTGTAATAATCATGAGGGAAATAATTACTGAGAATACGGAAAAGCGCTGCTTTTACCCAGATTTCCATCAAAATCTACTAGCATAATAAATTAAGATTCCAATATTGCAATCCCTGAATTTAGACGTGCAATTTGACCAAATTCAGTGGAATCTGGTCCACATGGAACATATCAGTAGAACACAGATGGAAGTTCAGCCCTAATTTATTACCTGTCCCAGTGACAAGCTCTCCTTTGTCAGGAAAACAAAATGAGTTCACAATTAATGAAATTTGCAGATAAAATAAACCCCTGATAAATAAACAGTGACTGAGAGGTTCTTTACAGGTAATTTCTGTTTGTTTTTTAAAACAAAGACAAGGCTTTTTCGTTTGAACAGTGTAAGTTTAAATTGGTTGGGATATTTCAAACAGTGTTCATGACAGGTTACTTTTACTCTCTTTTAAGATGTAATCAGAGCACCTTTAATTGCTGAGCTCAAGTAGGTTTCAGCTGAGTATACTCATAAAATGTTTTACCCAGCCTATGCTGAACAGACCCTGCTGCTAAGAATATGGTGATCTATTAAAGCTTCTGCTATCCCATAAAAACCCAGGATCTATTTTATAACAGCTCCATGCAGCTTTGCAATGGAAGCCTCACACTTACTGCACGGTGAGTATAAATGAAATGTCATCACATATAAAATCTGATTAAAGCAAAAAATCCCTGCATGTAAAACTTGCTAACACAAACACTTAAGAGACATGAACAAAATATCCAGCACAGTTCAAAATCTGATTTTGACAGTATTACAACAACTCACAGTCTCAGGTGGATTTACATCACTTAATAAGACAGCTGAAGTTCTGCTGTTCCCTTGAACTGGCTCCCTGGCCACGACCAGATGCAGGGATCCTGTGGATTGCTGGAGGAGGGCAATGGCGTGCTGATGGGAAATGTTCTGATCCAATGGGGTGCAATTAATGGCCAGTATGTGGTCATTTTCCTTCAGTCTTTGATCCCTTAACAAAACATTGAAAGCAATTTTTTAATGCACCAGAGTGACTTCACATCGGGCTCATGTAATTTAAATACGAACATGCAAAATACATAGTTGTGCAAGGTTGAACGTTTATATATTTTAAAAATCTGGTTATTAGGATGTCTTCACCAAATTCCAAACTACATGCAATTCACACTGTAAACTGCAACGCCCAGACACATTGTGTTCCAGCTTTATCATGGTACAAAAATCTCTTCAATTTTTTTATTTTGCTTCTACTCAAAATTAATTGAAATTCCCTCATCCTTTCTTGCTAATATTGAACTACAAAGCAGAAAAAAATTAGTTTTGTAGTTAAACAATAAACTAGGAACTATTCTTCATTGTGTTTAGCACTACATGCTACTATCTCTAAGCATCCACAACTCAGGCTTTGATATTGTTTTGTATCATTATTTAATCTAAAGATCAATGAGCTGCATACTTATATTTTACTTAAAATTTATAGTATCAAGCTTCACACATGAAACTTTCTTTGAGCAATACACAGTTCAGTTGCTACCTTGACATAATGTAAATTTCACAGTTAATTCATCCCAGTGATGAATTTAGATTTGTGACAAGAGAGAAACCATCACTCATCTCCTTTATTAAATATTCATTCTGAGCACGAGACCAAACTGTTACATAGACAGACACTGCCTTCAAAGCTCTGTAGGAATCCAAAAAAAATCTCCAGGAGATCTTGTCTCAGAAGCAAAATGGGAAGCATGCTGGGGAAATTTATAAACTCTCAAACAATGTAACTGCACATCTTAACTAAGGCATTTTAAACTTCCTTTTTATCATGCCATGTTTAAAATGTTTCCCAGAAATCACTTTCTTCGAGCACTAACCATATTTTAGATTCTCTCATCAAAGAAAGTGAGCAGCAGGTCATCAAATCCTAAAGTGAGATATTCACCCTCCTTTTGACATCCGGATCAGTCCATCTGTCTCCACTTTGAAAGAGCCTTAATATGCTTTTCTTTAAGTGTTCTCTGGTGTGTTCTCTGTGGGCCCATCGCCATTATCATTCCAACCTCTCCCCACTCTTTTTGTCATCCTGTGTTGGCACTTCCTGACATGTGTTATTTAAAAAGTGACACCAATGACTTGAAATCTAGACACATTTTCTTGAAACATAATTCCAAGCACTGCATTTGTCTCATGCCAACTCTTGTGGTTTTACAATCACATTTTATTTTTAAAGGATTGCTCTGCCTTTTGTTGTTGGGTGAAAACCCACAGACAATACAGGAAGAAACTGCCTGAAGCCTTGATTCTATGATGACATCTGTGCAGGGATCTGTCGGGAGAAGTGGATCTAAATTTACACAGGAAACAAACGGTAAAACCAACTATAAATAGGGCATTGTCAGCGGCACATAAATAAAGGAACAAGGGGGGGTAAAATCTTTCAGGGACACAATGCATAAAAATTAAAAAGGAATCTAATTTTTATTTTCCTTGTATTCTTTTCTGAGTTTTCTTTTGTTTTTTTTAATCAGTTCTCAAGATTCTCTAAAGTGAGTCATGGCTTCTGGAAATTCCATTTATGAATTGCTCAGATATTTAAAACTCATCTGAAAATCTGATCCTCAAAACATGAGTCCCTTCAGTTGAAAAGCCAGAATTCAAGATACCACCACCAAAACACCCCACCAGATAACCCAGATAAACATGTTATTCTGATGGAGTTTTCAATGTGAATGTTGTAACTTTTCCCTCCATGGAAAGTACAATTTTCCAACACAATTATAAAGATCTCACCTGTCAGCTATGCTTCCTGGCTGGACTTCCTTGACAAAGATACCAACTTCTCCCACGCTGGGATTTTTAAGAGCAACCACACTAAATCCAAGACCTCCAACAGAAGGTTTATCAATCTTTATTGATTCTATTTGTCTTCCCTAATAAAACAGAAAATAAAATTATTTACTAATTTTTAATGCAATAGAATGAGCTAGTTTAAAACTTATGAACACAGGAAGAATTATTCTCCTCCTAAGACTAAAGAAAGGTAAAATACTGAATATGTTATTTCTATAAAAGCTCCTCCATTTATTATTTTTAATATAGCAACGTATTGGATATGCAAGCATTCTGAGGTTCTGAAACCTCAGGGAATTTAAGAGCTGCTTTCACACTTCATTCACATTATGAGATGAATTCCAAACTGGATGAGAACTATGAAAGAAGTGCTGTCTAGAGCAATATATTTGGGATTTCTGGAAATGCTGCATAGCTGAACTAAATTACTTGTCTTTTGGCTCCCCTTGCTTTAAATGCTGATTTTTAGGTGTGCATTCAAAAGACTGTATTTTTTAAATAGAGAAATTAATTTCCTTCCCCTCCCTGCAACTTCACACTTAATGTTAAAAAAGTTTGCTTTTGCAACTGCCTGTTTTTCAGTTTTAATACAAGATTTCTGGGGTTGTTTACTGGGAAATATTATTCAGAGAATGCACTACTATCACAGCTGCTTTATCCAAAATAACATGCAGTCTTTACTGCTAAATCTTTTATCTGATGAGTTAATGACATTCTAATGAGAAGAGTTATGCTCAAAATATTACAGCTACATTAAGGTAGTCAATTAGCAACAGTTACTTAATACAGAAAGGCATGACTAACCAATTAAATTAATGGTTCAGAGTAACACAGAACAATACATTTGTGGTATAAATGCCAATCCCACGTGTGTGGATGTCTGCACCTGTACAAATTCTTATAGAATTTGTACAGTTTTAAATCACAAGTTGTCACAATCCACATGGCAAAGTTAAGCCAAACTAAATGAAGAGTTAAATAAAATATTACATGCTACTTCTTTTAATCCTTCACACTGCTCGTGTATTAACAAAGTTGGCACATTTCCAATTCAAAATATACTTGATAAAACAAGTGTCTCCATCAAAACAAGTTTCTGCTGAAAATGTCCATTTTCAACTAAGTGTCATCAAATACCAAAAGCATTTTCTGGCAACTGAAACTTCTTTACTGTGTTGGGGCATGCGGCAGGAAGCAAGACAAAAAAAAAATTGGCAAGGAAAGAAAAAACAAAACAAGCCACCAAACCACTTCTTTCTACCGCTGACTTTATCTTCCACAGGGTAAAGTTTTCTGCAGCACACTTCTACTCTGTACTGGTTAGGAGGCACCACGATCCCAGAAACACAACAAAAAAGTATTGTGAAAATGTACTCCTGAAGCAAAATAAGTTTGGAGAGCCTTACCTTTGCCATTTGTTGGATGATCATGTTAAATTCATTAACTCCCAGGTTTGGAGTGAAGGGAGGTGTTTTGGGTCCAGGTGAACTGCAAGGTGTCCCAGCAGCGACTGATTTGTCAGCAAACACGAGCAGCCCTCTCTTAGTAAAATCAAAATCTACCGAGCGGTCAGGAGGCATGTAATTGAGCTGTTAAAAATGAACAAAGATGTGGGAAAACTATAAAAAAACAAAAGAAGGGATTTCCACATATACTATTCTGTTTGCAGACTGCCAAAGAAACAAATGTACGCATGTTCATATATGCCTATTCACACAAATATACGCACCTGTATAAATTAGGCAGCGTTAAAATTTAAGCTACAACCAAGCTACTATATAAAATTTAAACTGTTTTTCAGAAGGAAAGTTCTCTGAGTTTTCCAGCTGTGTTTCTACTCCACTTTTTTCTTCGTTTCTTTCATGCGTCTTCCCTGCCTATGCCTGTTATCCTCTTTTCACTCTGATATTTCAGAAACAACACATGCAAAAGCAGCAAACGTTAAAGAGGCACTCAAGCACTGTTGCAATTGTCAGGCAAATCAGTACAAAATTTTGGCACAAAAATCCAAATACTCCGAGAGTCACTCAGGAGCCCAAGGCCTGGTCTGTATTATCCCTTCCCCAGAGAGAGCCTTGGTATAAACTAGCTACCACTGAACATGCTATCACTGCTAGAACTTGCAGTTCTAGTCCTGACTGATAATGAAGAAATGCAGAAATATTCCAAGTGTGATATAATAAACTGGAAAATCTCATCCTGAATGAAACTGCCCATCCTTAAATAGAATTTCAAGAAAATCTAAATTTTCTAGATATGCGAATTCCTAACATTCTGGATGTAACATCCACTATGTCACAGTCACATCTTAAATATACTTGTATTTTTATACATTTTTTTAATAGTATGCAGACACGCATTCAAGCTCTGGAAGGAAGAAGAGATGCAGAACGTATGGGAATATGGCAAGAACGGATAATGAATGTCACAGCCATCACCAAGCCACCCAGGGAGGAATATGTGAAACACATTTGGCAATCACAGCAAGGTGGCCTTGTCCCCCTAACACCACCCCACTACATCTGCAGCTGGGCAGGTGCAGCCAAGACAGGGATTGCTGCTGCTCAGGCCCTGACTTTGAGCTTTTGCTTCTGATTTTAAGTTAACTGCAGTGTGAAATCTTTAGGAGGGGTTTTCTAGACTTTCTTTCCCAAAGCAGGTTAACCATTCTCGTACAAATTAACAGGAACTGAAGCAATGATGTCTTTTAAAGAGGAAAGATGCTGCCAGTGAGCTGATAAACGTATTTAGCTTCTCTGGAAAACAAAGGATCCCAGTCCAACACTGTCCAGAACTCAAAGTACTGGAGCTGATGTCTTTCACAGATGCTTTTTTCTGATCGATGTGGTTCCCAACACCTGCCTCTCCTGCATTCCTTTCAAAGCACATTGCCCTTTGACCTGTTTGTTGCAAAACCACTTCTCATTTCAGCAGCGACTGTTGATATCAGCTTCACAAAAGAAAAAAAGCCCAACATTCACTCACACCATGTTACAGCTTATTAACAAGAGCGCCCTCGTTAACACACGCCTACACATCATGATTTAAGTTCCATGCTGCCCATAGTTATCATCGCACCAACAACTGTAATTTTACACTCACTTGTTCCTTCAGTTGCTTGATGGATTGCTGGAGAGTCAGTATCTGGTTAAACAAGGGGCTCCTGAGGGTGTTCCGTAAAACAGCCAGGTTTTCCTGGTGTTGGGAATCCCTTTTCTCATGCAGTTTTGCTTGCAGACGATCCAGAATCTGCAGCACCTGCTGCTTATCTGCACCACAAAGGAGTCCAGGTTAGAAATGGAGCTTCCTTACTCACTGCCCCACAAAAGCAATCACTTTCAGAGCACATACCTGCCGCAGGGTTTTCAGGCATGTTGAGGGGTATTTTTGGAATAACCTCAGAATAACCTAGATGAGATTTAAAATAAAAAAATCAAATTAATAAATGATATATCCAAACAGAATAGTAACACACGATAAATGCAATAATAAAATACTAAGCTAACTACAACGAATTTAATAGAAAAAAAATACCACCCCCAGTTGTTTACCCCAACTATTCAACAAAGCTCTCAACATACCTAACTGCACTGTAGCCTAAGCACACCTAAAAATTTTTCCTTGCTCTGTGTACTTTTCCTTTCACACACAGAAAGGAATACAAACAACTTTCAAATATGAGTAAAAATGCAGTTATAAAAACAGACTGAAAAGGAAAGAAAACTGAGACATAGTTATGTTTAACCAAATTATTTTGAATATTGACACAGAGCTAAAATCTAGCTATTATTTGGAAGATACTTTTACTCTGATTAATTATTTGTAGACAGTACATTCTTCTCATGATAGCTCAGCCCTGCTGAATGGCAATGTAGGTGAAACCTTGTGTTTCTTTACAAAACAATGAAATTTCCTCCACTCATGGGACAGCAGAGAATTAAGGCCCCGGATTGGGCAAATTAATCCCTATTCTAACACGTTCCTAAGGAAGATCAATTCTAATCACAGCCTCAGTGGTGGAAACAGGTGAAAGAAGCCTGTTCTCTCCTCCTGCAGGAGATTGCCTTTCTCTTTTCTATGTACATGACAAGCTTTCAAGTAGCAAAATATCCTTTATCAACCTTTTAAGGGGCAGAATATCCTTTATAAAGCTTCTCCACAGTGCCAAATAGAACAGGTCTCCAACTGGGGCTGAGGCCTAGATGGCAGTATAAAAACAACAGACTTGCAATTAGCAGCGATGATAAATTTGTACCCTTGCTTGCATGCTATTAAGTTGAAGTGGAGCCTGTCATTCTGAAATCTATCAAGGCAGCTCTACCAAAACACACATGAGGAACAAGATTTCTTCACGTAGTACAAGCTCCTCTGAAAGAAGTCAGCCATTTAACAGTACAATTTACATAATTTTAATTATATCCAGTCTATAACCATGTAATTTCAGAATTATATATTTGGAATTATTTTGGTACAAAAATAGCTATATCTATATAAATAGCTATATCTATATCTATATAAAAAAAGCTCTTTACATTGCTTTTTTAATCTTGCAATTCAAGAGCAGAAAGGGTCATATGGTAAATGTGACACCAGGGTAAGCACATCCCAAGGGCTCTCTCCCAGCAGGACCTCTGATCCTTTCAGCTCTGCCGCTGACACTGTCTGTGCTCACATGGAAAACATCTGGAGTTCTTGGAGGACACTGTTAAATTTAACGAAATATTAATTATGCAGGTGAGTAGCGTCTCTTCTGCAGAGTCGTATTAAGTTGATTTACCTAATGAAAAAAATAAGCGGACACAGGTTTGTCACAAACCACAATTTTAGATTTATGCACCCTTTGCTGTGCATATCTAAGCACCTTTGGCTCCTGAAGGAATTCCTGCAGAAGTCGGTGGGTTTGTGTTGTTTCGACCCAGGGCCAGGCAAAATTAGTTGCTTTGCAAGACTATTAACAGATTTAGGAGGTCATTTTAAATCAAACTCATAGCAAGAGTTGAAGCAGCAAAGCCATACAACCCCTGAAAGATTTTCAGGAATGCATCTGAACTTTTGGAAGTGCTGCAGCTTTATTTTCTTTTCCATTCAAAATAAAACACTTCTAAGAGCACAGCAGCCTTTGATTCTGTGCAGAGATCTGGTTTTGAAGAACAGACGAAAACGCCATTTCCTTACACACTCCTGAGTCTTCATCTAAACCAAAAAGACAAAACTTAACCTCCTCGACTAAAAATACTGTATGAACCTTAACAAAGCAGGACAAAGAATATGGAAATTTGTTCTTTCTTCCGACTTTTACTTCCCCCCATTCGCTTCCCTCCTCTTTCTACCTCACACCAGCAGATAAAAGAGGAAAAAAAAAACTCTAAAGCAAGTAAACCAAAATCAGAAACGGATGGAAAATAACTCCTATGAGGAAAAGTGGCCTGGAATACCTTTAAACCAGCAGTGGGGTGAAGAAAAGACTAAACGCAGGAAAGAAATCCAGCATGGCAGGAAACAACGACTTGACAGCACCATGCCCATCTAAGAGCCAAAGCCAAGAGGCTGGTCCAGCTCCCCAGCCCTCTTTCATGCATTTATTCTTCCCTTTCCATCTCCATTCATCTGATCCCATAGTGAGCTGGAACAGGGAGCTAAACATGCAGAAAAAATCCTTCACGTTTTGGTAGGGTGAGTTTTCTGCCCAGTTAGCTCTGAGCTGCCAGCACTGGCAGAGGGGGACGAGAAGGGACAGGGATGTGCCCATACCTTGCAGCAGAAGCAAACTGCACCATGAGAAACACCCGTCCCACACCAAAATAGCCTCAGTGCCACCCTGACCGTCCCCAAGATTAATCTTCTTCCCCCTACAGGGGGTGTAACAACAGCAGTTATGATGATGGGGTCAGACCCAAAGAAATTGGAGATTTAAATTTAAGGAGAAGAATGCAGGTGAGAGATCTAGGCTCCATTGAGGCTGAAGTTCCCTGGAGAAGGAGGTGCAAAAAGGGGGGGGGGGGAAGATTAAAGAAAGTTTCAGCTTGAGCTGCTCCAAAGTGTCACTAAGAGCTACTCGTGCTGGTGGATGCCCAAGTGGACCTCGTGTTACAGTTCAGGTTTACACAGCACTTTGGGATTCCTCGTGATCAAAACTGGCCTTCAGCCAGCTTGCAATGCTTTTTAATGATTTTTTTTTTCTGCAATACATTAAAACCACCCGCAGTATTTCTTTGTTCTCCTTTCTTTCATAAAAAGAGAGTGGGGAAAAAAAAATAAACAGCTCCTTCTGATGTGAAGGGATCCCTGAAAACATAAATTAATTTGGAGTTTTCAAGTAATGGACAGTTGAGGACAGGTCTCTAAGACTGGCTTTTGGGCACCACAGAAACTCACAAATCCATGTATTATTGTTCTCTTTATGTTCAGGAGCACAAACGTTATCATTACACATTTTCCAAACACACCCTAGGTCAGAACACAGTGTCAACATACCGTTGCTAAATTAGAAAGTCCATTCCTAGGTGTTAAATTTGAAGAATGATCGAAAACACTCTAGTTTGTCTTGTTAAAATCAGTTCATTCACCCCACATTCAACTTTCTCTGCTCCAGTCTGAGTTCTACAGACATTTATTTATCTTATGGGTAGACAAAAGTACAAACCTCAGTTCAACATTTATGTCACAGCTCCCAATATAGCCATAAAATCATTGAGAAATTGATGAATTTAAGGAAGTTGGGTGTTTTCTAACCCCAGGACATGCCCCACACTCCAGCACAGCATGAACTTGGAGTTTCAATGTCTTCTGAGAACTGAACTCAACTCATTTGAGGGAGCAGGAAAGCTTCATAAGGTTTTGTATGAAATCCCAAGACTTGGATCTTCTTCAAAAGCACACTTAGGAAAAAGGAGTTCCCCCGTGCTGATGCCAGCAGAGGTCATCAGAAGAGACGAAAGGTTTAAGTCTTCCATTGCCATCAGCCCCCTTCTGGACACTGCCACTTGCATGGAGACACGGAGCGCTCGACCCTGGAGCATCCCAGAGTCAGAGGGAACACGACATCCCATGACAAACACCTGCCCTCCAAAAAGGGCTGCTGAAAGATGGGAATGAGTGTGCTGCTGGGGTCTGGAGGAGGACATGGTTTAACCAGAAGAGATTCTTCTGCCCATTCCTCCCCACTCACCTACAACCACTTCTGTGCCACATCCTTCAACTTGGCCTCGAACAACCTGCATCCTTATGGGAAAAGTCCTGCCTCATGGGATGGTCTCCTCCCCACTCAGCCTGGCTGAAACCTTTTTGGACATTAAAATCCAAAAGTGCTAACTAACTGCTGCTATTTTTCAAAGGCTTCTAACACAGCCAACCTGAGCAGTCTGCCACAGCAACAGCCAAGGGTTCATCCCAATCCAAAGTCACCTTTCTGCACTAATGCAGTTGGAATTTTTCCTGGCCCTGTTATCAGGAGTGACTAAGCTGCATATCATATTCCTCATCAGAGAGACCTCTGACTTGGAAAATTTCAGTCTCAGAGTTGATAAAAAAGTAAAAGCAAAAGCAAGGGAAAACAGGATTTGTTAGTGTGATCTTAATCCTAAATTGTCCTAACATAGCATCACCTGTAACTTCAGATATTCAAAACTATATTTACATGCCATCAAGCGAGTACACAGTGTGAAAAAAACACTATTCTAACCCATAGTTTGCTGACCTACATGTTATGCTCAGTTTTTCTCATAATGTACAGAAAAATTCAGTCCAAGCAAGCATAGCATGCTCACAGCTTTCTGATGAAACCACCAGAACCTGCTGCTCTGTGCAATGCTGAAGGATTTATAAAAAATGCTGTGGAGCAGCACCGACTGCTCCAGGCATTAGAAAGAAACAAATGAACACTTCTGCAAGTACCTGAACACAGATACACCACACATCTCCAGGGTACAGTAGGTCAAAGGTAAATATTGTTAAAAAATAAAAAATACTCCATGGGAAACTTGCGCAAGTCCTGTTTTTACATATGATCAGTGACTGCAGGATGAGGAAAGTGAAGAAAACCCAACACTCTGCACCTGTGATTACCAGTCCCCATGCAGATCAAGAGGAGTCTTACTCACTCTCCAGGCATGCTAACTTTTAACAAGCAGAACCTGAATTCCTGCGGACTTCAGCCCCTAGGGAAGTGCCGGTGTAGGTTCTCTGTCGTCTAATAGAAGGGTGAGCTCATGCCAAAGCTGCTCTCCATGAAGCAATAACATGGTCTCAAAACCTGTTCTCACAAAGCTCATGAAAACTTGGTTTTAGAGCTAAATATTGTGATATTCTACTGATATTTGCCAATAAATCCTAAAGTTACTATGATGACAGCGTACATGATTAACAAATCACTTCATGGGCAAACAAGGCTGTTAGACCTGGAACCATGCTGAGCTTCTAAGCTTCAAAAATTTACAAGGAACACCTATTAATCATCCCTAAACAAAGCAAAAACGTGCTCTGCTAAGAATCTGTGGATTGACTAGCACTGACGGGAAGTGTTGCAGTGGGCGCATTACTTCTCTGCTCTTCCCATCACGATCCAGCCTTTCCAAGGAATGCAAACTGTTTGCACAACAACAGGATACCAAGATGTCTCCAGCACCTGGGAGAGCCTTCAGAATCCATAGGGAGCCACACAGTTCTATCACATCCCTAACACAGCCTTGGTGTTAGAATGATGCCAAAACCTCCAGTGCATGAAACCTAAAGAGTTTTGAGGTGGGGAGTCTCTGGGTGAGTGCAGGCTGGTACCCTGACCGCAGCTATCCTGGTCAAGGTGGTGTCCACAGCAAGATATTGGTCAGGCACTGGAGAAGCGGGAGATGGTTGGAAACACTCAGAATCACGGAATGTTTCAGGCTGGAAGGGACCACAGTGGGTTCATCTGGTCCAACTTCCCTGCTCAATCAAGGTCATCCCAGAGCACACGTCATAGGATTGTGTTCAGACGGTTTTGGAATATCTACAGTGAGGGAGACTCCACACCCCCTCCGGGCAATCCCAGCGCTCCCTCACTGCACAGGAAAGAAGTTCTTCCTCATGTTCAGGTGGAACTTCCTGTGCATCAGTTTCAGCCCGTTGCCTCTTATCCTATTGCTGGGCATCCCCGAGCAGAGAGATCCATCCTCTTGGCAGGTTGGAATATTTATTACAGATAAATATCGATGTTTTTAACCCCATTTAGATATTTATAAACATAATTTCACCCGAGGATCTACACCACCATGTCCGAAGGGGAATTAAGTCCTCTAGCAGAGCCTACTCTACGTGCCCCCTCCCATCCCATCCCACCCGCGGGGCTCCCGCGGTACCTGCGGGCGGGAGGCGGCGGCGCTGGCCGGGAGCGGCGAGATGCCGGGATGGCCGGGAGCGGCGGGATGGCCGCCGGCGCTCACCTGGGCGGAAGCGGGAAGCGAGGGGCGATCCCGCCTCACCTGCGGCGCAGGAAGCCGGGGCGGCGCGGCGGGAGAGCCGCCTCCCGAGGGACGGCCGGGAATCGGCCCCTCCCGGCCCTGCCGGGCCCGCGGGCGGTGCGGGGACAGCGCACGGGGAGGGGACGGGGCTGAGCCCACCAGCGAGACACGGGGTCTGGCCGCTGTGGGAAGTGCAGAGCTTAAACTTCGGAGCAGAAATTAACTTTTTAATCAGTTTTCAGGTGATCCTGACCTCCCAGTATGTTTATAAGTCGTGGTTCTGTCAC